CATTTAAGTATACTTGACTTATAGCCTACTTAGAAAAAGTCTAAATATATTTGAGCTATACTTGTGTTCCTAGAATCGATGTTTTCATTGTTATACTGTAGGGGGCGCTAGTACACATTTTCTGTACAGAATTTCCAAATAACACAAGTGAAGAAGAAACCGAAACAACAGATGCTTCCACATGTAATCTAGCACGATAACATAAAACAGCATCAAAACAAAACTGTGGGAATAAAATGTCAACCAATGAAGAGGTAATAATGACTGTCAAGCTTTGGGGTGTTAATCGTGTTAATCGACGTTTTGATTATCATTCTGAATCCAATTCATAGTCTTTTTTCAGCTTTTTGTTCAAAATGTTGAAAACAAACATACATTTTTGCTCACTAGAATATATCCAAATGTGTAATTACTACTTACTCATGATGCGGCGAGTCCAGTTGAATTTGTAGTAAATGAAAGGTACATATAAGAGAAGACCACCGACTATGAACATTGTGCAGTACAGGTATTCCCACTCAGGCTTTTCTATGATGGGAGCAAGAACCAGGTAACAGGACACAATCACCACCAGAACAGGGATGACTATTGGCACCTGAGAGAAACAAAAAGCAAACATTTTTATGTCGGGTAGCCATTTTACAATAGATTACCTGCTATATTAAAAAAAAAGAAAATATTTTCATTCTAGCTTCCTCTTGAAAGTTGCCTTTTGCACCACTGGGAATATTATCGGGTCATATCACGAATAGCTTTTAATGTTCGTAATTTTGAAAATTTGCAAGTTGCTTTGGATAATAGCATCTGCTAAATGATTACATATAAATGCAAATGCTGTGCAAAATGCAAAAGTTGAATTCATCCACATGATGAGGTGTCACTCTAACCTTGACAGGTCTCTGAAGCTCCTTCCTAGTGAATCGCATAACAATGAGTGCAAGACATGTGAGCCCATAGAAAACCCACTGAGCAAAACTGAAGTAATTGATCAGAGTGTTTATATCTGCAGGCATGATGTAGATGATTGACAAGATACCCTGCAAATCACATACAAGAATAAATACATAATCACAAAACGTAAATATTGTTAATGTTGTCATATATTTGATGTAATAGTGTTGAGAATGTAATATTCCATGAGACTTACATTAAACATTAGAGCTGGAGAAGGTGTGTAACGTTTCACACTGATGTACGACATGATCCTAACCATGTGGCCCTCCCGTCCCGCCACATATGTCAACCTAACATGAACAAACAGACACAACAGACAGTGAGAGTCAGGCCCAGACAACAACTTTCAGGATATTTTCCAGTGTGCAAATGACTATAACACAGATGAATTTCCTAACCTGCCTGCGGTGAAACAGCTCCCATTGGCTGCACCAAAAGTGGAAAACACCACAAATAAAGGCACAATCCATGATAATGGGTACAGCACTCTGTCACCGAAGGTCTGCGAAGTAACCAATGATTTAGTAAAATACAACTCAAGGAACATGTTACAAAAAGTATATTAACTGAAGACTTAAAATAAACTGACTTTAAATTTAATTCTCAAAAACCACTGACCAATGAATCTCCACGATGACATATCCAATTTTTTATGATTAGTGTAAGGGTTTTAAAAATACATTTTTAGAAACTGTGCTTGCAATAGCAATTATTTGTCTTTTTGCAAATTATAGAACTAAGCATAGCTAGGAAAATATATATATATTTTTCAATAGAATATAACTTTTTCTAGGTCTGGAAATCACAGACTTCAAATTTCTTTATATTTTTAGGTTTTCCTTGGTTGTGGGAACTAGTGATGTTTGCTTCTGAAACACTGCTTTGTGAAGCTTCGAAACCTTTGTGAATCATTTGTTTTGAACCAGTGATTTGGGGCGAGTATCAAAATGCCAGTCATGTGATTTCAGTAACAGAGGCTGTTTCAAAATGTTTTGAAATTTCAATGGTGCCCTGCTAAGGGTCCATGAAACAGTGTCTGCATGGTTTTGACCTGATCCCAGATCAATTTCATACATTTGTAGACATTTTTATGACACATTTGTATAATAAAAGGGAAACGTTATAGTTATTAGTCTCTTATTGGCCTGATTGACCAAGCTCTCCATAAACAAAACAAGTCCTACAAATGAATAAAGTAACACATATTATACAGACAGACACATCATATTCAATGGCATTAGATGATTTGTTAATTATTTTGTATTTTATTATTATTTTGTTCGTAAAATGTTTTTATGCATGTTTGATCTAACTTTTCAGTGCATTTACAACGTTTTGACCAGCAGGTGTCCCCAGCGTGTGGCATTTTGAGCATTTCTAAATAGTGAAGAATTTTGTCAGGCATTGGGTTCATTTGATTCAAAGTTTCGAAAAGCTTTGTTTCTCTCATTAATAACCATGACGGTGACTGCATTCGAAACTGCATACTTTCCTACTATACAGCAGGCAAAAAACAGTATTTGAAAAGAGTAGTATGTCCAAATTCACGGTACTCATGAAAACGTAGGTGGCAAAAAGTACCCAGATGACTTACTACTTCTAGCGACAATCTGAAGTGTGCATACAATGGACAAATTACTATCCCATGTGGCCATAGGAGAGGATTTGTGAGTGGCAGTGAAGCAACATAACTGACGCTAGTAGCTCACATGATAATGACAACGAATAGCATTCATACTACACATGTTCATACTATATAGAACATACTTTTTTAATAACCCATTGTATATCAAGAGCAAGGACATGTTTGTGTGCATTTTGTTTTGTGCTTTTACCAGAACAAAGCGTACGATCGTCTGTGTGAAGACTGCGCATTGTGAGAGAACTGATAACAGCAGCAACGAGCGCTCGCCATAACACATCCCAGCGATAGATCGCCTGTTGTTTAACACAGACCAACGAATCTGTTATCCAATGGAGATGTTTCTTTAGGTACATCTGTGCGTGCCGCGAGATGTTGCAAAAAGTGGCGGGGGTCGTGGGGACACACGTCCCACCCGTAAATAAAAATATAACAGAACGTATAGTCTTGTTTTATTTGTAATTTCCACGCCTTTCCAAAAGAGGAGAAAAATATTGAGATTGACGTCAAATTTGCCATCACTCCCTCAGCCATTGTATAGAAACACCTAGCAGCGCTAATTCTTTTTTTTTTGGTCATTTATGTGGGGTCTCCTCGAGAGCCCTTACGAAAAAGAAGTTTATTCAAGTGTGCTATCAGTATACTTCTTTTAAACTAAAAATAGGAAAGTATACTTTCAGTCTAATTTTTATGTACTTCTCAGACATGGGCTTTATGTACTTCTCAGAAATATACTTAAAATGACATTTAAGTATACTTGACTTATACTTAGAAAAAGTCTAAATATATTTGAGCTATACTTGTGCTCCGAGAATGTTTTCATTGTTATACGGTAGCGGGCGCTAGTACACATCTTCTGTACAGAATATCCAAAACATAAGTGAAGAAGAAACCGAAACAACAGATGCTTCCACATGTATTCTAACACGATCATCAGACATAAAACAGTATCAAAACTGTGTAACATTATGGAATAAAATGTCAACCAATGAAGAGGTAATAATGACTGTCAAGCTTTGGGGTGTTGATCGACTCCATCTACGTTTTGATTATCATTCTAAATCCAGTTAATAGTCTTTTTTCAGCTTTTTGTTCAAAATGTTGTTTATTTCTTTATTTTTTTAAATGTTTTATTTATAAAACTTACCCACATTAAAGTGTTTAAAAAAATAATGCATGAAGCCAGAATAAAATGTTTTTGTTTACAAGCAGATACCCTGTTCTTTCTTTTGATGTTTTGTATGTTCAGATATTCATATAACAAAATATATACAAATTAATACCTAAATAGGGACATAGTAGTATACTTAAAGTATGATGTAAAGTTCACTTAAAGAAAACTTACGAGTATACTTGCAGTATAAAACTACTAAACCAGTAGTTTACTAAGACTATACTTCAAAGTGTACTAAAA